TGGGGGCTGCCCACGGCCGGTCTGCGCCGACTGCTCGAGGCATGCGAAGCAGCGCTCGGGGACATGCTCATGGGCAGGCCGCGCGACGTGGTGCTCCCCTGGCAGGGCACTTCAAAGGCCGGTACATCCTCGACCTCTACGCGGGCCCAGGAGGAGTTGCGCGAGCGGCGATCCAGGCGGGTTGCAACGCTCACGCGCACGACCGAGCCCACGGCCCAGATGAGGACTTGACGCCCCAGAAAGTGCTCGGCCGCTTGGCCACCGCGGTCAGGCGCGCAGAGGTGCCAGGAGCTGTCATGGGCCCGCCGTGCGACGCCTGGGGGGGGGCCGCGGATCGAGGGCGGCATGGCCTCATCCGCTCGAAGGAGCGGCCGTGGGGATTGTCTGTGAGCGGTCTCACTGCGCGCCAGGTTGATAGATTTAACCGTGGAAATGTCGTTTTTTTTTTTGCGGCGCTTTGCAGATGTTGCGCGTGCTGTGTCGTTTCAAAGTTCCGACGATTCTGGAACATCGAGTCAACTTTTGGATTTGGCACACCCCGGAGCTCCAGGAGGCCATCAGGAAGCCTAAAGGCCACGCGAGAGTCTTCGATCAGTGCCAGTTCGGGCGTTGTTGGCGAAAGCGTACGAAACTAGCCTGCTTCTTTATCGATCCACTAGATACGCGCAAATTCGATAGTAGGTGCAAGGGAAGCTCTGGGGTGTGCAGTCGCACAGGCGAACAGCATTTAGTTCTGGAAGGAGCCGCGCCATCAGGTGCAAAGTGGACGGCCATAGCAGCACCTTACCCTTCTAGCTTGTGTAAGGCCATGGTCCAGACTTTGTTGTCTCCTGAACGTGATCGAATTGCCTCTCTAAGGTGTCTGGCTGACGCCGGCCTTCTGCCCCGCCAGCGCTGAGCTTTACTGCTAAACACGCAGTGTTTCCCCGTGCGTCACCCCCTCTGCCCCGACAAACACAGCGTTTTCGCATGGCTTTTGCCTTCCTGTAGTGGCGCGCGTCGCCCGCGCTGGCGGGCGCCCGCTTCCTCGCCGCCGCAGATTGTAGCTGAGCGCGCCATGTGTAAAGCATTTCAGGGGTGACGCACGGGGTTCCCCTGCGTTTTTTGTCGTTTTCTGGTGCCCTGTCCCGCCCGCCCCTGGGAACCTTCAGGACTCGGGTAGCCCTTGTCGGGTTTGGGATGTCTTGAGCGGGGGCCTTCCTAGTTGCACGGCTCTCGCCTAGTCCTGCGCTTCGACCGACTGGCGTCGAGGTCGCGTCGACGCGCGGCACCTTGTAGCAGAGATTGCCCCCGCGAGAAAAAATGCGACAGCGCCTGTGCGTGCTTGCGCGGGAAGGTGAGGGGCATTGTTTCGGGTGGCGTCTCCGCGCTGCCATAATGCATGCCCCCCCCCCCTCCCCGCGCCCGTTTCTGTCAGGATGTCTTGAGCGGGGGCCTTCCTAGTTGCGCGGCTCTCGCCTAGTTCTGCGCTTCGATCGACTGGCGTCGAGGTCGCGTCGACGCGCGGCACCTTGTAGCGGAAACTGCCCCCGCGAGAAACATGCGACAGCACCTGTTTTATATCCATGTATATATATATATATATATGTACACATGGATGCGATTGTCTGGATCCGATTCCCTGGATGTGATTATTTGGGCTTTATTGTCTGGATCTGGTTCTCTGGCTGCGATTAATTGGGCACGACTATGGTTCTGAATCAGCGCATTAGTCTCCGGATCTGATTCTTTAGATTTGTTATGAAGCAAATTTGAGTAACCGAAACCATGTCAGCATTATCTACAGGCATCCGTTTATAGTCATGTGCCACATTTATGTAGCGCCATCCTAAAAACATGCTTCGGGTGTTGAAAGTGTTCTTCAGTGCTTTGATGTGAACCAAGTCTTTCTGCGTTTACACTAATCACCCCACATTTCTTAGTTCATCTAGATGTATCGAAATTCATAGAAACTTAATTAAATGTAACCAAAATAATGTACATGTACCTGAATTTATGTAGCTTTCTGTGAATTTACATGGCCCCATTCAGATTTACGTAGCAATTATCGACATACATTTGAGTTTAAACTTGCTTCATTTTCAGACATTGATGAGTTTCACTCGAGTACCCCGAATTAAAACTATCTAAAGTTATCTTGCTCGATCTACTTCGGGCTACACGTGTTCAAATTTCGCCAAATGTGTCGGCATACGTTTGATTTTAGAAGTGCCTCTCCTTCTATGTAATTGTTTTCTAAACGTATCTAAATTGATATAGTTTGTTTTGAATTTGGTCGAAGTGTTTTTTTTGTTCGAACTACAATTCGCTAGATTTGAATGTACGTTTGGTTTTACTACAGCCTCTCATTCTTTGGACATCACAACATGTATTTAATCTGTTTGGTTTTACCGAAATGTGTTTGAATGTTGCCCACTCTATTTGAATGCATCTATACCGAAGTTGATGTGCAAACCTCCTATTATGGTTGCTGCGATTTGGCTTTTCATGCTCTGGGTCTGCTTGTTTTTTTTCCCCCGCAAATGTGCGTACATACTTATAGGGATACGATCCGTATATGTGTGTATATCTGATTTCCTGCATTTGATTATTTGGATATGATCGTGGAATTGATTCATCATCTCATTCTCAAGATCTCTTTCGCTGGATACGACCTTTATTATTCGTATCTGTTTCGTCCCATTGTCATTCTCATTCATATTCCGAAGTCTTAGTCCGATTCCTGTTCCCAGTCCTGACTGTATTATGTTCGGTTCGCATTTGTTTTCATAGTATTATGAGTCCTTGTCTTATTCGTAGCCTTAGTACGATTCCTAGTATTATTCTTGTTATTTGTCCTATACACGCGTTCCTGTTTATCGTGGTTCGCAGCCTTAGTCTTATGATTTGTAATATCTGTAGTATTATCATTGGTTGTCATATGGTTTGTATTCGACTTGTTATTCGTATTGTTTTTTTGTCATTGGTGCTGTTCTTACTGGTACAATTGTTTAATTCGTGGTCTCATGAGTTTCAGTCGTATCCTAGGTCATTTTTCATTATAACTCTTATACGCCTGCTCATCAGCATGATCATCCTTTTTCATGTTCGTAATACTATCATGCTCCATATGTGCCATACTTGTCTTCATCTGCTCCTTGTATGTGTATATGGTTTGTTCATGATTGTTTTACCATTCGTGTTCGTATTCGTATAGTGTATCGCATTCGTGTTCTTAGTCGTACTCTTGTTATTAGTCTTACTCTTCGGATTGGCCGTTGTCCATATAAGAGGAGAGGAAGAGGAGGAGGAGGTGGAGGAGGACGGGGGCGAGGAGGAGGAGGAGGAATAGGAGGAGGAAGAGGAGGAGGAGGACGAGGAGGACGAGGAGGAGGAGGAGGAGGGGAAGGAGGAGGAGCAGGAGCAAGAGGAGGAGGAGGGAGGAGGAGGAGGAGGAAGAGGAGGAGGAGCAGGAGGAGGAAGAGGAAAAGGAGAAGGAGGAGGAAGAGTGTGAGGAGGAGGACGAAAAAGAGGAGGACGAGGAGGAGGAGGAGGAAGAGGAGGAGGAGGAGGAGGAGGAGGAGGGGGGATGATGATGATTTTGGTGGTGATGATCGATTCTTCCAGATTCTTCCGAACTGTCACAGATTCTTTGCATGTTCATTGGTACAATGACCTGTTCGTTTCAACGTTTGGGTGATGATCTTCACCAGGGGCCTGCTCGCCATAGTTTGTGTGGCGCTAGGCATAAGGATGCTGGCACGAATCGCGGCCAGTTTGTGCAAGTGTTCCTCCCCTTCTCTCCCTCGTCTTCGTCTCCTCTTTTCTCTCTCTGCACGGTTTGTTGCATGGCACGTGCGGCTCCATTCGTGATCGCATTGTGTCTTATAACGTTGACTTCATGTAGCGAGGCTGAGTAGGCCCTGGGTTACATAAGCCACGAGTGTACGTCGTAGGCCGAGGGCGCATGCACTGCAGTATTTTGTGTGTTTCCCTTCTCCCCTCGCCTCCTTCCTAGCCTCTGCTCCTCGTCCTCCTCTTCCTCCCCCCTGAATGTGGTGACGTTAACCCGGCCGGCCACTTTATGTTTCTCCTCTGTCCACTTTCGCGCATGCGTGTGGCTGGCAAGCCGGAACAACATAAGATTGACATCCCCATTTTGGGTGTGTTGGCCTATCCGCGGTTTTAGGCGTGCAGGTTGTTGGACGTCGTGTTCTCCCCTCACAGCCTGCGGGCTGATCTCCTCCCTTGCTCCCATGCGTTGCAAAAAAAATGATTCTTCCAGATTTGTCCAGACTCTTCCGAATTCGCCCAAACGCCATCAGGTTCTCGCAGATTTGTGCGGATCGTCCGACAAGCGCCCTAGCGTCAAGCGCCGGCAAGATTTTAATGAGTTGCCGAGTTCTCTGGGCTTGTCTTGAAGGCACGACAAACCGCACCAGAGGCTGTCTTGGGCCGTCTTGTGTGCCGTGCGGAAGCTGATGGTGATCGCGTCGAGGTTCGTTTGAGCCGTCTTTGGGCCCTCTTGGCTCTTGGGTGTACGCGCCGTGAAACGTGCCTTCGCGAAATCTTGTTTTGAGCATGATATTCTTCGGCTGAAGCCGAAAGCGAGTGACTAGGTCGAGTAAGTAAACCCACGTGGACTTCGATGGGTCGGGCGGCCCTGACTA